CCGATGATACCTTTTGTTATTATAATTAAGTCATCATGATTAAGTCTGACCAATCGCCTATTAGATACCGTATTATTGTATTGTATTGTTCCAACTTTGTCATAATGTTAATCAGTCATGCTGAAGAGGACCTGAGGTCAGGTCGAAATATTTATGTTGTAATAAAATAGTGTTCCAAAGTCTACTCCGTTTCCTGTTTTTCTTTCTTCTTTATTATCCATATGAACACACGTGGACTCCTCTTCATGTTTTCTAAATTTGGACCCTGCTTGGACGCAGAAGCTCTCCACGCTAGGAGACAATACGAGCGTCTCTCAGACAAGTTGGCCAATACAAGATCACATATCGTTTTCCTGACGCAATGTAAACGTCTAAACCTTGCACCAAAAGGACTTTTTATCAAAAGCCCCATCCAGTCAACTACGCAACCACGCATTGAAACTAGAATACAGTAAGCAATCGATAATAGGAGAACAGCTAAAGGCTTCTAAGGAGAAATTATCACAGCTCACACCGTATTCCACGCAAGTTACCGAAAGCCTTGACAAATTACACAACCGGAAACTCAATCAACTCTTTGACAAGAAAGCCAAAAAGATCGTTAATCTTGCCGGCAAGGATGATCTCCTGAAACCTCTGTGCCACAACCAAAGATCTACCCTCCTTAACCATTTCCCAAGGAGCGTCTGAGGACAACAAGAAGGTAAAATAAACAACTTTGTTAATCTTTCTGATCACAAGCCGACTGAAGGAGAACGATCATTGCTTAACAAGGGACTGTCATTCCGTCCATCGACGAAACCAGATCCTGTCAATCTTTGTTCGGACCTTCACCAATTCACCCGGAAAATCCGTCTCATAGAACATTTTAACAACAACGACAATGGTAAAAACGACTACGTCAATCCTCAACCATACAAGCCCGCCAGTCTCACCCGCCAATGGACGCATACCGTGAGTAAGAACCCATTTATCGAGTCTTTTGTGAACACGGCTAAAAGCCATCTCAATGCCTTCATCAATAAAAACACGGGAGAGACAACCAAAGACAACTTGACTAAAACTGAACGAATAGCAATTAAGGAACTCAACAAAAATCAAAACATCACCATCAAGCAAGCAGATAAAGGCGGCGCAACCACTATAATGAACACTTACGACTACGTTGCAGAATCCGAAACTCAACTTTCGAACAATGAATTTTATAAGCTACTTGATGCTGATCCCACTGTACGTTATTGTAATGAACTTACTTCTCTTTGTACTGAGTTATCTGCTAACACTAGTGATTTAATTAAGGACCTTATTCCCCTCAACCCCCGCCCTAGCACTTTCTACACCATCCCGAAACTCCACAAACTCCCCAAGCTTCTATCTGATAAACTTAATTCACTTTCCCCCAATGCTAGTGTTAGTATTCCATCCGAACAGGTTAAACTGTTCAACCTAGTCAGGACACACAAAATTACCCCTCACGGTAGACCAATTGTATCGGCTATTGGTACACTCACCGAAAATTTATCTGGATACATTGACTCACTTTTACAGCCTCTCATACCTTCAATTCCTAGCTTTGTCAAGGACACTACACACTTTCTGAACATTCTCGAAAATACCCCCATCCTTCCTAACAATTCATTTTGGACGTATCCTCTTTGTATAGCAATTTCCCTCATGATGAAGGCCTCCAAGCCCTTGCTACATTTTTACCCCAGCACTCGTTTTCACATGAACACACTAATGACATAATCTCCATAACTAACTTTATCCTGACGCACAATAATTTCACTTTCAATAATAAACACTACCTCCAAATTAAGGGCACTGCAATGGGAACCAAAATGGCTCCGAATTATGCCAATATTTTTATGTCCATTCTTGAATCCAAACTCATTGCTTCATTCCCTCTTAAACCTCTGTTCTACCGATGTTACATTGACGACATTTTCATAATTTGGCCACACGGAGAATACAACCTTAAGTCATTTATGGATCATGTGAACAATTTTCACGCTCTATTAAGTTCACATCTGAATATTCTCATACATCCATACCTTTCCTGGATGTAGCAGTTACCACCAATAACAATCGTATCTCCACATCTATGCACTCTAAATCCACAGACAGTCACGCATACTTAAACTTTCACAGCTCACATCCATTAGGTCTGAAAAAGTCTATAATATTCAGCCAATGCCTCCGTATCAAACGGATATGCTCAGACATTAATGATTACAATTTCCATGTTAACAACCTAGCAGGATTTTTTCTCAGTCGTGGCAATCCTCTTAATCTCATTAAATCCCAAATTACTAAGGCAGCAAGACGTTCACGGCAAGACCTCTTATCTCCTAAAATCCGCCCCACATGCAATCGCATTCCCCTCATCCTTGATTTTCACCCTCCATCACGTCCTTATCTAGAACTATTAGAAATGACTTCACCCCACTTCAAC